CAAAACCTGAATCTACAGGAAGGTCATTTATTGTAGTTTGTGAAATCTAATTTTCAAAGGGAGAGTAGCATCATTTTTTTAGTTCGAATAATAACTGGCTTGAGTCGCTGGTAAACTTGTGGAATCAGGTTTGCTTGTCGAATGAAACACGATTCATCTACTATTTTACTTTGGCCTGCAGATCTTACGCTGCAAGTGAACATTGCCAACGACATTTTCGTTGAACATGATGGGTCCTGTATCTTACTGTGAAACAAGAAATTTTCTAGTTGCGAACGCAACTGATCTTTTCCACGCAGTATCTTTTGGCTCAGCTGTAATTATCGCGATAACGTTCCCTCTAACAGTGCTAGGAAATGCGCTGGTTTTGCTGGCTATTTGGAGAAATCGGTCGATGAGAAGTCCATCTTTTTTTCTTCTCGGTATGTTATCCTTTGAGTACTTTCTATGTGGTCTGATTTTTCAACCATTTTATGCAGCAAAAGAGCTAGGTGTCGTACTGAAAAGTCAGAAACAGGAGGTAGTGGTGCCTTCGTCAGAGAGGAGTATGGCTGCGCTCTATGTTAACTTAATCGCCGGCGGCTTCGGAACGATTTTAATGGCTACTACCTTATTAACTGTAACACTAATGGCTTTGGAAAGGTGGATGCACATGACACAAAGACGCTGGGGAAATCTGAGTCGCATTTATAAACTGTTCATCGCGCTTCTTTCCCTGCCAATACTGCTGGGGGTGTTTCGTTCGCTGGAATTAATAACACCTGGGTCGTTCTGCACTGCTGTAAATACACTTGTGATATGCCAGTTCTCATTCTGTTTTACAACAACCACCATCACTTATATTAAAGTATTGTTCAAAATTCGTCGCCACAAACGACAAATTCATGCAAATTTTTCATCGCAGAATGCCCCAAGGTTTTCGTGCGTCAACGTAGCGAAGTACAAGAAATCTGTGTTGACTATTTTTTACCATCTGGCACTGTTCTACTTGTGTTACTTTCCATTTGTTGTGAGTGTAATTTTATCGTTATCATTTGAAGACACGCTAGGTTTAAGAGCGGCTGTTAAAATATCATTGATGTTACTTTTTGTATCATCTATGCTCAACCCTTGTCTTAACTGCTGGAGGATTAGGAAAATTCGCAACGGAGCCAGGATGGCTTTGAAGAAATTAGTCTGCAGAGGTGAAAACGAATCACAGCCGAGGACATGATCTGAGCTAATCCGAAAATGAAAATGGCCTTCGAAAGGCTAATCAATAATATTTAGGTTAGTCTACAAAGAGCTAATAAATAAAGGGTGTAAGTTTTTAAGGAAACTGCAGTTTTGAATCGGTGGGGATAGGACATAATAAGTTGATGATGTTAATAAGCCACCGTATAGAGTTTCGAGCGTTAACCCTTCGTCAGAGTCCTTCCTTTGAAAGCAATTGCACGACTCGAAGTTCTGTGGCGTCTTCATTCTAATGTTTTTGAAGTTGCACATGCTAATTGCCTAATTAAATAATTTTGGTCCGTGCCAATCTTTTGTCGATCCAGTAGCCAGTTTGTTAAAATTGGAACTGTAAAACGTTTATTTTACATCTTACTTTGAATGCAAGACAAAAAATTTATATTGAAAGAAAAAAAAGCAAAGCAAAATAAAACGGAACGAAACAGAACAAAAAATAAAACAAATCAAAGTAAAGAAAATTAAACCAACAAAACAAAAAAAAGTCCGGAAACATGGTTGGATGCTTTGTTTTAATGTTTTATAAATATTGATGTACGTGGGAAAAGATGCAATTTAGTGCAAACAAATTTCTTTCTAATTTGTACAGCTGACAGCTGATCAAATTGCACGGGTACTAAATATCCTAGGAAGTATATTTCCATTAGTTCTATAAATTTGAGCGCAATTTGTAATGAAGTTGCACGGTTTCAGCAGCATGTTACAGGCGTTTATTTATTAAACGGGTTCATGTGGCAGTAGCGGTAGATTTAACCAAAAAAGAGGCGTTGTTTTCGCGCTACATTGTTCAGTCCCTGTCTCATCTCAGTCGTCTCTCTACTTATAAATTGAAGCACGTGGTAAGGATGGGAAGGGGAAAAGGACAGATTCTCTTTCATCTTCTTTCCGATAGTCCCTTTCGTTAAGGTAGTGCCAGTCTTTCGCGATCCCGCGGTCGCGTATTAAGATACGACAGGAGACGACTCAGTTTCAGCCCTCGTTTTATTTTCAGTCCTCTTTGACGCTACTTTCGCGCCCCGATTTCTAGATGAACGCCTGAAACAGGCAACGATCTTAATATTTCTGTCTGGCAAAGTAATTAACTCTTCTACAGCGTATATTTGGAATTTGGCCTCCAAGCTGACTTTCCCGCCACACCAATGACTCCATTCTCGCTTCTTGAAAAATTAAAAAAAATATTAATCCCGAGATGGTTGGGATTTTCTCTTGATAAATAACGGTAATTTGGCGTTCTGTTGTTGTCTTTTTCAATGTAGAATAGTTAATAAAAGTGTATGGTTTGGGTATTTTGTATTAGGGTTATTAAAAGGTAATTTGGTAATATCACCTGAGTTGTAAACGTACATTAGTCACCATTAAGAGTTTTAAATCTGATGTTTCGAGCGTTGGCCCTTCGTCTTTCGCTTTTACGATACGCTCCCACCGATGCAGCACCTCAGTTTCTTTAAATATTTGCACCCTTTATTCATTTATATGGATCATACACTGTTTCACCTTAGACACGAAGTCAGAAAAAAGGTAAGCAACAGCCTCAACTCTGTGCAGAAGCATGCTTCGTTGAATATGTATAGACAGTATCTGTTAGGCAAGGCAATTAGTTTTCAGAGAGCGAAGCACGAGGAAAACCGAGCGTGGAGAATCAGTTGATGATCAAGGATAAATTGAAGAGCATATTTGCAAGTCGATTGAAGGTTACTGCACGGACTCTCCCTCAGACAATTTTTGTGCAGAAAGCAAAATGTTCATAGGTCAATAAACGCCGCCCTCGAATAAACGCCGCACTCGAATCACCAAAAAATTGATAATTAGTTTCCGAGAATTTGTCTTCAAGATAATTTACGTTTGTTCCGTCATGTTTAGGAGAAAAACCGCATTATTTATTGTGAAACATGTATCTCCCAGAGCCACTTTGAACCAATAAATACCGCACCTGATAGCTGAATATTTTAATTATTCATTATGTTAAAACACTGAGTTAACGAAAGAGATAAAAACTAAAAGGAGAAGAAACTGATCTTTGAAAAAAAATTTAGACAAATTCAGAAAGCAATATTTTCCGACACGTTTACGGGAAAGAACATGGCGGCGAGTGCAGCCTCTTGTGATCTGTCTACTGGATCGTCTGTGTACGATACATCAGAGGAGAAAACCAATGGCTTAAGACTCGTGTAACTGCTGGTTGATGGAGGAACAGCCATTTTTGCGCAAATTTCTATATTCTGTTTACCCACCGGAAAATTTACAGGTTGTCTGAAACAAGAACAAGGCAAAGCTTCAAAGGCTAAAGTCGAAAGGTGTAATATTTGCAATCCAATGGGAAATGTTATTCCCTCCCTCAGGTGATCCACCGAACGCAGAAGTGTTCGACATCACACTATTGCATTTACTGCTCCGCAATATTTTTTATCTTACGGCGCCTTCAACTTGATGGCACGAAATGCCTCCGCACGAATTCAGTGAAAAAGGCGATAGAGACTTCATTCGATCTCTTGGAGAAATCTGAAAAGGATGCTCTCGTTCTCCTGTCTGTGTTTCCGGGTTCATTTGACTCAGATGCTGCTGAGGCTCTTGTGGAAGTATGTACGAACTCTATGCTCTACGCTGCCTATTTCGATCCTTCGGTCCTTGAAAAACAGGTCTCTCGTTGAGTAGCCAAGATCCCAAAGATATCAGTTGCATTCACTGATCAAAGCCTTCGCGAAAAATGTCTGTACATCAGCACCTCTGTTAGCTAAGGGAGAGAAAGTGGCATGTACTCATTACATGTGTCGCCTCGCAAAAAATTCCAATCTCTTTTGGGGTAAAGACACTTGCAAACAGTCCTTCGACGCCTTTGATGAAGATAGACAAAATTTTGAGCACTTTCTTTTGGCCTACACCCAAGGAAGGGAGAATGAAGATATTGCTGTCATAGACTCCTGTGAAGAGTTTCTCGCCAGTCTTCCTCAGAAACTAATGTACCTTGAGAAGTGTGTCCTTCCCAGATTTTACATCGAGTTCCTAACAAAGCTAAATGGAACCGTCCATCCAGGTACTCATCCTGTGCACAAAGTGGAACTGTATTGTCTTCTTGGACATGAAATAAGAAAAGTAGGAGAGGGAGAAGAATACGAGGACTGCATAGAGAAGGCACAAAAGCTGTATTTAAAACACAAAATGAAATTCGGCGCGAGCCCTTTGTCAGAAGTTATATATCTCCACAGTCATGCTCGCCTTATCTCAGAGAAAAGGATACCCGACAATTCAAGTCTAAGGAAGTGTACGAGAAAGCACTCAAAATCTGCGAGCAAAAGCTCCCTAATCATCCTGAACGGGTGGCCACATTGTTGTTTGCTGGAAGAAATGCCAAGCGCCGAAATGAATACGAGCAAGCTGAAGAACAGCTCAATCAAGCTTTGGACCTCTCCAAGAATTGTCTCGGTGAACATGTTATGACTGCTCAGTGCTTTAAAGATATCGCCGACCTCCTGTTCTTTGTCAAGAGAAAGGTACCAAAAGGTGAACATGGTTTTGATACTGTTCTTTCGTATTACGAAAAGTCTCTGGAAATGTTAGAACATCTGGGCATGGATGGCCACAAGGAGACCATTCTAACTCTGAAGAACTGTGGATCCTGCCACAGTAGCAATGGTAACTATGAGAAAGCAAGAAAGTTTTTGGAAAGAGCGGAACGTGTTGCCGAGAGAGAACTGGAGAACGATCATAGGTGGAAAGTGATGGTGAAAACACAGCAGGCCCTTGTGTTTGACAAAGAAAACAGAGAAGATCAGATGATAGAAGCAATGAAGAGTGGACTAAAAATGTGTTACAAACTCGGAAAGACTATCGAAGATCTAGGCAACAAGCATGAGATCCGGAAAGTTCTACACCGTCATCCTAATAAATTTCCAAAGGATGAGTACCCTCGCTGAAAGGAATGGACGCTCTTTTCATCCTGAATGAAGAATGAATCGACGAGGAACTTTAAGCCCTTCACTGAACAACTGACTTCACATTATATCTGACTTGAAGATCGGTATGTTACTTTTTTAGACTCATAATAATAAATCTACCTCTCCAAAAGTTATTTTGCATAATGAATTTCAAGCAGCGCTGCAGCGTAACTCTGGGTTAATCAAGCAGCGTAACCCTCTAATAAGTGAGAGACTCGATTTTTGAATTTTTCTTTTACATAAAGTAGACTCCAGTGAAAAAGCAAAATTCCTTCAGTTGAGCATTATCAGTTACTCGTTATAGAAATTTGTCTAACTGCAGTCAAGTAGAAAGGTTCCGAAGATAGCACTTGTCGCTGTGTTATCACTTTCACAGCCAAGCTTACCCTCAAACTTACCAGGTTGCCTAAATGTATGTGAGGAGGATGTTTAGCGAATTTTAACCTCTTGTCTGCGATATGATTGCTCCAATATGGGTTTGTCCTCACTCCTCGAAATTTTGCAAATTACTTGTCTTTCATATCAAAATTTTAAGCGAGGAATCTTGAATCTAAATCACCGATGTTACTGTGTGATGTTAGCCATAGGAAAATTAATTATTTGCAGAAATGTTACGAAAGAGCTGTTATAAATTTTAAAAGTAAAATCATTTTGGTTTTTTTCTACTGAAAAGAATAACATATTCTTTGCTCTGTTGGTGTTAAATTTGGCTGACCTGCTAAAGAAATATTTGAAATATATCTAATCGTAACAGAAATAATTAAACGTGTGAATGAACATTATCAACGAATATATTGTGTTTTTGATGAGTAAGTATAGTTCTAGGGGGCAATAGGATATTTGGTGTAAGCTGCTATCTCAGGAACGATTAAAAATAAGGAAATGAGGAAAAACAGTTTAGCGGAGATAATCCTGTAAGACTAAAGCAAACCCAAAAACACCACTCACCCTTCATGATACATGTTTTGTTTTCATTATTTATTATAGACAAACAAATGCAAACTTTATTGTGGGAAAGTTTGAAAGACTAAAATGAGAACCTTTATAATTTAATTTGTCGTGGCGGACTATTTTCCGCGAACCTTAGTTATTTTTATTTATTTCACAGATAACTATGCATGAAATAATAACAGTACACCCAATGCTGTGACTTCTTTCGGAATATGATATCCTGGATGACCTTGTCTAATTGTTGGCCAATGCACAACATTTCGTGGAATTTGCTTGGCTTCCAAGAATCCTTAAGATCATTATCTTCCAGACAACATGTATATCCGCTTCTAATATCCAGAGTGAAATGGTGTCATGTTCTGGGTTACGTCTAGCATCTTTTAAGTTCTGTGAAGACGGCTCTTTAAATGTTTTTCGAATTCCATGGACGCGTTTAAACTTCGCTTTGTTGGCCATTCGTCAATTAAATCTCATAGACGAAATGCTCTTTACTGGAAGTCAATTGAAAGAGAGGGAACAAAGCGAGTTGTTTAAAAGTTGCAATATCGAATCGGCCTCGAATTTTGTTTTTGTTTCATGAAAGTTTCTTTTGGGAATTGAGAATCAGTCACCGTTAGATTTAATAGAGAGTTACCATGGCCTGTTCCAGAGGCAAACGAGAAAAAAAATGAGAGGAAAACAGATTTTCTCTCACATGCTCTTTCGTTCATCTCTACCGGAAGGCTTGGTACAGGCTACTGGGTTCCAAGCTTGGAAAAATAAAAGAGCGCAGAAGGAATTAAAACCGAGAATTAAAAGGCTTGCATTATCATAATGTTAGTCACGGGTCAGAAGATACTCAACTTATTTGGGTTGCAAATCAGGAAACGCAATTGTGTCTGTCGAAATGAAAGTGTTTATAAATATTGAAAGCATTATCATAAGCATTATCAAAACCCAGCCGAGCGTCCCTGAAACTATACAGTCCATTGCACATGACGCATCTGGTTAATATAAGAGAAGAATAAATAAATATTTCTCTTCTATCACTCCATTCACACACCTATAACATTAAAAGGCGAAAGGAAAAGAAACGACGGGGCTTGACAGCGAGCAAGATGATCCACGGAAAATAAGTCCAAGTTGATTGACTATAGAAGAAAGAGGAAATGTCATTAAACACATTTTCATTACGCCGGCGTCTTAAACACTTACCGCTTTCAATATCTTTTTTGCCGTTTTCCAACGTTGCATTTCAGAAAATCGAGAAACTGTATTCTCCTCTCGCCCCTTCTCCCCTTCCCCCCTCCCATCTGACACAAGGAAGGGAGTGACTGCGTGATGTCTGTTTTCCACGATTGTCATGTCAACAATGGGTTTATATCATTTTTTCCACATACTTGCCTCTCATTGGTTCTGAAAACAAAGCCATGCAGGTTTTGATATTATAATAAAGGATAAGATTTCTTGAATTCCTAGATGTGTCTGGTCGCTTTCATAGAAGTTTTCAACAGTTACGCTCGTTACTTGCCTCAACAGTGCTTGTAAATGGCGTCCATCTTCGGGCCATCGGAGGAAAAAACTAACGGTACGAAGTTAGCGCGACTGCTAGTTGATGGAGGTACACAAGCGCTCAGGAACGTTTTAGAGTCTTTCATACATCCGCCTTCAACACTACAAATTATGTTAAACAACAACATGGCGACCCTCACCAACTTAAAGAGCAGACGTAAATTATATGATAGCCAGTGGGAAAAGCTATTTCCTCAATCGGGTGGCCTACCAGACTTAAACACATTTGATATCACTCTTCTACATTTACTGCTTCGTGAAATCTGTCCCACTTTGATTGAACCTGCAACAGGATGGCACGACATGCCAGCAGAAACAGATCACAGTCGTGAAGCCGAGATCGTCCGGATTAAATGCTTGCGAAATAGCCTGTGTCATAGTATTTCCACCGGTGTTCCTAATGACGAGTTTGAAGACAAATGGAACACAATTTCTCATTCTTTAGTAGCCGTAGGGCTCGATCAGCTGGAAATAAACCGCCTAAAAGCAGAGGACATCGATCATGGTACACAGCGACGAGTCGATGAAGAAGTGAGGAAATGGAAGCTTGAATTTGAACCAAGAATGAAGAACTTAGAGCAAGACCTTAAACAGTTAAAATTGGATATTTCAAGCAATCAACAACATATTTCCGCGCCACGCGTTACTCGAGAGCTTCTCAATTGTCTTCCAGATGAGATTCACCATGTGTTTGGTCGTTCAGAAGAAATCAAACGAGCCATAGAGGCTATTCAAAGTGGAACAGTTTCTATTGTGTCTTTAACAGGTGGACCGGGCTTCGGGAAGACCACTGTGGCCAACAAAGTGGCCCATGAGCTTACCAAGGCAGAATACAACAGGAAGGTTTTATACTGCTCACTTCTATCCCAAGCATCCCTCAAGGACATAGCAACCACAATGTTCCTTATCTGTAGTAACAGCCACTCTCAGCCGCCTGAAAATCCTAAACTTTGGCTTCTTAATTGGAGCAAACAGCAATATGAGAAAGTAACATTGATTCTAGACAATGCAGATCACGTTCTCGAGTCTGGAGATCGACAAGAGTTTGTTAACATGTTGCAAGATTTGAGGACCTACTCAAGGCAAAGTCTAACCTTTATTATTACTTCTAGAAAGACAGTTAATACGTCTAGTTGTGGTTTCAAGATAGAAAACATCAGATTAACCAGTTTGTCTTTAGATGAGGCAGAAAAGGTCCTTCTTTCTCGGACTGACCATGTGAAACAAAAGCTTTCCCAAACGACGAAAATTGTTGAATTGTGTGGCTGCATCCCTTTGGCGCTTTGTATCGTTGGCTCGTTGCTCTCAGAATTCAAAGAGGTGAGATTGATTAAAAGTCTTGAAAAGAAACCTTTAGATGTTCTTCAAGACGATGAAATTTCCGTCGAAAACGCCACCAAGACTTCATTTGATCTCCTGACCCCAACGGAACAAAAGGCGCTTGCAGTCATGTCTGTGTTTCCAGGTTCTTTTGATTTCGATGCAGCTGAGGCTGTAATTACAACAGGAATGGACACTGATGCTGATCCAATTGTAATTCTCCGCTCACTAAGAAACCGGTCTCTTTTAGAACAACCAAGTTCAAATCGATACCAAATTCATCAGCTCATCCAAGCCTTTGCAAAGAGAGTTGGTCAAGCAAGCTTTTCCGAAACAATTCTCCATGTAGAACAACTGGCATGTACCTACTTTATCTGTCGTCTCGCTGAAAATGCAAACTTATACTGGAGCAAAGACAAATGCAAAGAATCTGTTCTAAACTTCAATGAAGACAGACACAACTTCGAGCATTTTTTGGAAGTTTACGTTGACATAATCGATAAACTTGATACAATTTCAGATTCCCCTCAAGTACCTTCGGACAAGTTTCTCGAAAATTTTCCACAAAAGTGTATGTATCTAGAAATGTGTCTTTTACCAAGTTTTTACGTTGCCTTCCTCGAAAAACTTCTGAAGTACTTTGAAACCGAATTTGTCCCACTACACATTGTTGAACTTTTATGTCTACTTGGGCATGAAAAGAGGAAAATCGGCAATCAAGAACAATATCAAAATCTTATGGAACGAGCTAAGGAAGTTTACATAAGAACTTGCTCAGCTTTTAAAGAATGTGGTTTATCACAAGTCCTTTTCTTTAACAGTTACGCGCGCTTCCTTAGTACAAAGCCTCAACACTTACCTCGTGAATGGACTTCGCAACCAATTAGTGATGTTTACGGAATAGCCATGAATTTGTGCCGGAAAAAGTTAGATAAACATCCAGAAACTGCAGCGACCTTGCTATTCTATGGTTGGCACCAGAAAAGTATAGAGCTACTTCAGGAAGCAATGGATCTTTTCCAAGATTGCCTCGGGAATCATTTTATGACTGCTCAATGTCATAAATACATTGCAGACCTCTATTTCAGATGTTATTTCCCTGACGAAAATCCCGCTGGAATAGAAAAATGTTTTGAACATTATGGAGCTGCACTGACTATGATGGAGAATCTTGGTGTGGGTGATCACAAGGAGAGTATTTTGACCTTAAGAAAGTTCGCACTTTGTCATCAAAGGAAAGGAAACTATGAAGAGGCCATCAATATCCTTACGAAAGCAAAAGGAATCGCTGAGACCGAACTAGAGGAGGATCACAAATGGAAAGTTATGATTGAAAGTCAGTTGGCTCTTCTAAATGAATGCATTGGAAACGTGGAAGAAGCGAAAGAAATTATGAGGAAAGGACTTGACATGAACGAACGACTAAACCAGCCAATAGATCAGCTATCGAACAAAAGGGAGATCAGTGAATTCCTTGATCGTCATCCAGAGCTCAGCCGCGTTCGTATGAGACCGTCCTCGCGTAAATGAGATTGACAGATAGAGACGCCTGACATGGTTTTTGTTTAAAAGTTGATACAATAAGTAGGGTAATTAATTTAGTTTATTCAACTGAGTTGAATTCGTCAGAGAAATGGAGAAATTGTGGGTCGAGCATAAATTAGCTGTTGAGCATAAATAGTGATCGCTGAGTATTCGACGAGATTCGTTTTTAGAGTATACATTAGCATTAATAAATGAGAAAATGCTCGATTCTAGGTCTGTAATAGACTCTTGATAAAGAGGCTAAGATTTTGTTTAAACTGTTTACGTTTACGCAAATAATGAGGTTGTCTACAAACATATTAATGCAGTAAAGGCAATGGTAGTCGAATAGATAAGATTTCAATCATGTGAGATTTGTGAAACGTCCGATGTAGTCGCATCTATTTGGGTCAAATATCTGTTCATCTCGATTACTAATTTCAGATCTCTTTTAAAAGTATGGTAAATATCATATGATGCTATAGTCAATAAGTTTTATATTCTTAAACATGTGGGTTTTTAACTAAAAGTTGGATCGAGTTTCAAGATATCATGTAACTTCTACTACCTAAAAAATATTTCTTATATGTGCGAAATCCAAACTTAATGATCGAGTAACAATCTGAAAAGGGCCTCTTCCAGCATTTCCAGTATGAACGGTTTACCGGATAATCTATTTTGCGTGAAACACTTGGGCAATATCGTGAGGATATTTGTCAGTGTGACTCCTTTAAATTAAAGTTACTGACTGTTAAAAACAATGGGTCTCATAGCAGTCGCTTTAGAGCTTCTTACGATGAGCTTCTTTTTCTTGTGGCATATCCTGTGGCGTGACGGTTTTTATTGTCACGCTATGCGTGACATACAAGATGATTACCCCTGAGTCTAAGCGTGCTTGAAACCTACTGGGGTCTGGGAACAGGCGCGAATTTTATTTTTCAAGATGGAGGAATGTTTTAACAAAGTTGTGTCAGTTCACTTGAAGTCTTCTAGCCGAGAAAACAGGTACGATTATGAACAAAACATATTCAGAGGTTTTAATTAAAGACAACGTTTTGACTCCTATGGGCTACGATATTTCTTGCAGAAAGTCTGTCGTACGCATCAATGTATCTTTTCGCTCGATCTCTTCGCCAACGAACAAAGTAAGTCTAGTTTTGTTTACAATCTTAGGTACATATTCCATGTTAGAAGGACTATCAGAAGATCATCTATCAGCGCAAGCTTTACATTGAATAGCTTGTGCTTCTTCTGTTTTAAATACATTTAAATGATTTTGATGATTTCATTTGGGGGACAACTTGCCTTTTTGCATACATTTCTACATGCGAAGTTACTTTCTCTCTCTTTCAAGGAACTTGTTGTCCGAATCACGGATGAAGAAGACTTGTGCTTTCTCTACAATCTTGTTTTAGGCGAAACTGATTTCCACACGTAAGTCTAGCATGTATCTTGCGTTTTTGCGTCGCATTTTAGGTTTTGACTTTTTAAAATATTTTGGGAATGCATTACATTACGATTAATAAGGGATTTAATCTTTTGAAGAGAGAATAAATGATATACATGTGTATACACAGTATGTAGTACAGCTTAACAAATAAATTCCATTTTACTGTGCATCTGTTCAGTAATAGATCATAGATGAAGTCAAAAAATAATATGGTGAGGAAAAAAAAAGCGGCAAACGAGGCACAGCGAAGTATGTCACTAATAGTCTTACCACATTTTGACGTGTTCTGTGATATTCAACTGTACAGACCGACAGTATCCTAAAATCTAGTTTTTTCCTATGATAACAAAGCAAATGTTGTCAATGGTGACATCATCTGTTAGCTTGTTTTTAATAAATCATAAGTAAGAGCCAATCAAGATGTGTGTATGATTCAGCTTATCATAATATTATAAAAACATGCAGATCATAAGTAAGAGCCAATCAGAATGTGTGAATGATTCACCTTATTATATAAAAACATATAGACATGTGGACTCACTATGCCATTGATAGTTTCAATATGCAAACCAATCAAAACGATTTGATTGGCATTTGATTTTACATGTAGTAACCAATCAGAACCCATCTGTCTGATCTTGTTATTAATATTAGCAGGAGTTGTTGTGAAATCTGTAGCAATCAACATTGAATGATTACTTTCAATGATTAAAGATAGCTGGTATTACATTTCACCCATGCAGGTTAAAAAGTCAACAAGGTTTGCTGGTTGATTTTTGTGCCTTTCCTCAAAAGTTTATTGACCTGTTGGAACTTTGTCGAGACGAAGAGCAACGGGATAGTCCAAAGTAAGTTGAACATTACTGAATAAAAGGGGTAAGTTTCTAAAGAAGTTGTGGTGCTGTGTCAGTGGGAGAGTACAACAAGGTAATTTGATTTTATCAAATGTGTTGACTATATAATTTGGTTGCCTTTAAGAGTGTAAAGCTGATATTTTGAGCATTAGCCCTTGTTAGTGCAAATGACGGAGTTCTGACAAAGTGAACATTACTGAGGTTTGATTTCTGTCCTTCCAAAATATCTCTTAACCCTTTAGCTCCCATGAGTGACCAAGACAGAATTTCTCCTTACAATATCAATGCAATATCAACCAGATAAGAGATGAGAATAAAGAAAAATATAAATTTGGGATAATAAGTTGATCCAATACTAAATTCTCTGAACCAACATAATAAGGATTAAATTAAGATTAACAGGAAGGAGAACGACAAATTTGATCTGGGAGTTAAAGGGAATAGTTGGCTCTTCCAGTTCTCTCCACTATTTATAGGTAATTGAATCACAAGAAAGAAAGATATTTTAGCATTTATCCATTCAACATTAATATTGCCTCTGCTCTGATAATCATACTTTATAAAATGACCTAACCCTTACAGTCCAAAGATCTTAACAGTAATTCTCCTTACTGTCTGTTATACAACTTTTATCAAGTTTGGAGAATTTGGTATTGGATCAACTGATTATTGCCTAATTAATAGTTTTCTTTATTCTCATCACTTTTCTACTTGATATTGTATTGATATTGAAGGGAGAAATTCTGTCTTGGTCCCTCCTGGGAGTGACAGGGTTGAATTTTTAGACTTGAACTCTTCTCAGTTTACTTGATACCTGAATGGTTATTGCTTCACAGTATTCAATCTATGTTTATACCTGTGTTTTGCAAACAGATTTCTGCTTCAGTTTGTTGTTGGCAGTGGTTTAGATCAAGGTGTGGCCACTCTTCATGTGGTAGAGACCAATCCATTTAAACATCTGACTCACTTATCATTGAAATTCCTTCCTGGATCTGATTCTGAAGTCAAAAAATATCTGGCAAACTGTCTTAAAAATCTGCAGGTGAGTTTTTTTAATAACTTTTTTAGCTCACAAAAATTTTAAAGCATTTTTGCAAGGTAAGAAAGTTATTGTATTTTTTAGAAAATGTTGTTACTTGCAGATAAAGGATTTTGGAGACTGCATTTATTTGAGTGTGTTAGGTTTTTACATACATGTACTTAACATGTACAGGAAGTTTTTCTCAACAATGAAAATGTTCTACATGATAAAAACAAGTGGTGCTCTTCACTGCCTCCTTCTTTTATCAACCTCCTCTCCACAGTCACTACCCTCTATCCACACAGTGCTTATTGTAGAGAGTTAGGACTGGTGATAAATAATTGGGGAACACTCCTTCCTAAAAAACTTCAGAAATGATGGTCAACTGGTGACAAAATCTGAGACTTTGAGAATAAAAATCATAAAAAATTGTTCATCATTTCTTGCCTTTTTAAATTTTGCAATGGTTATTTTGCTTATAGTGTATGAGTATGTAAATTTTTTTGTCCCTCTTAGGATGAGAAACAAATCTTAGAAAGGCGTCTTGCCAGTACAGAGGCTGATCTTCAACAAAAGCTTAGCACATGCCAAGAGGTAAGCATGTAATTTAATTATCAGCAATAGTGTATTTTGTTTTGTTATGTAGCCATAACTGTTGACTTTGATCTTGTTGTATTTTGATTTTCCTTTGTCTTACAACTGTTGCTGTGCATATTACTGTAAATAATACTGTTACCATAAAAATCTTGACTGACAGTTGGCTAGGATCTCCTGGCCCATGTCCCAATAATCATGTGTGAGACCTTGGCTGAATGTTGGTCAAGTATTTGAAGACCATTGGCCAAATATTGGATCACTATCAGCTGATTACTAACTGACCCTTATTTAGCTCTTGGCTCTTGTTTGACTACAATGTATACAGTGCGGGTTGATTTATCAATACATTTGTTGTATTCGTTCTATACACTGACAGAGTCTACCCATGTAGTGCACATGATCCAATTTTATTTATTTGTATGATGCAGGTCTTAGCAATCAAAACAAGAGAGTTAAGCTCAGTTCAATCAGACTGCTCAGCCAAGTCATCTCATTTGGAAAACAAGCATGCACAGGAACTGGCAGCTGAAAGGGAAAAAGCACTTCAGGTAGAAGAATTCTCTCAGAACCAAATTATTGCACCATTTGTTAAATCATTTTTTTGAAAAGTATGTTGGCTATATTGTTTAAAGTCTACACAAAACCCAAATGATGTTTTCTTTTTCAAATGATGTCAACACATACATGTAGTGCTACTTTATGTAGATTTGCTTTCTGTTTAATTTAGTTGGCCACTGAAAAACAACAGAGTTTTGAGAGAGAAAAGAGAGAACTGGACCAGAATCACCAAGCACAGGTGAGCATATTTGCTGTTTGCTAGTACTTCAGGAATTAATATCAAGTTATGTCCTTACCATATGCATGCACATGCAATTTTCATAGTTCTGACGACTAACCCCATCACCTCAATGAAATGTCATCTTGCCAACAACTGACAACTGACATCATAAGTCATTTTGCCAACACCTTAGATCAACTTTGACAGTCATCTTTGGTCTTTGGTAACAAATGAAATAACAAAAGTTAGTGTCTGCAAGTTTGTGGCAAGTTTGCAACAAGTTGACCAGAGGTGTTGGCAAATTGGTTTGTTGGTAAAGTGATCAATAAAATTTTTGACGGATGATACAGTGTAATTATGTTCAATGTTATTATTTTGAACATTATTATTGTCAGTGGCTAGATTTACATGTAATAAATGAAAGGCACTCATTTAACTAAAGGGTTGACTCTTTATGGAAGAGCATCAACTTTTTTTTTAAGGTGCTTCTCTCACTGACTTAAAATCATCCTTTTACTTTCAAATTGGTATTTAATGACTTGCTTTCTTTGTGTTTTCCTTGTTATAGATTGTGAGATTAGAGGCCAGGCTCAAGGATGTTGAAAACTCCAACAGAGTAATTACCTCCCAAATGAATTTTAAGATTTGTATACTTCATTTAACTTTTTAACTCCCACGAGTGACCCAGACAGAATTTCTCCTCACAATATCTAACAATATTAAGCAGACAAGTAATGAGGTTCGGGAAAAAAAAATCATTGAGGGGATTATTAGTTTATCTAATAACAAATTCTGCAGACTAACATCATAAGAATTGTGTCGCAGACAGCAAGGAGAATTGTTAATGAGATCTTGGTAGTGAAAGGGTTGACTAGTTTTACTCATTCAAAAATTTTCGAAAAGTCAACCATTTAGGGCTGGTTATTTACATGAGGTCTAACCCAGACCACAGTTTTATGCAATTAGTGAGCCAAGGCTCTCTCTACAGAAGGGTTGATTTATTAAATAAACTAAATAAATGTCCTTCCTTCCTTGTTAGCTTTCTGACAGCCTTCTCAACACTGTATAAAAAAAATGAATGTTCAGATAAAAGGTTCAGCTAAATTTAGTATTATTCAGGATACGGTTTTGTTAAACAATGGCTAAACTTTAATCAAATTATTGGCCATTAAAGTTTAGATGCAGCCACCTGAAAATGATTCCAGTCCATGGGGCAATTACTAAACAAAACTTGCAGAGATGGTGCACAACCATGTACACATAGATATAAACTGTTCTTTACAAATTTTTCACAGGACCTGAATCAGAAAAAGTACCAAGCCGATTCTTGCATCAGAGACCTCAAGTCCAAACTAGCAACACTGGATGAGGTACTGTAAGGTTCATTGTGATGTCAACAATGTCTTCCTTTGAGCAATAACCCTTACACCCTGTCATCAGTATGTATATTCTCCACACTTTTCTTGACACTTTTCTTGCAGTAAAGTATTAGAAGAATTTAGAATTTGTCTGACAATCAAGTACTTCTGTTGTTAGCAATCATTTTCTTTTATTATTCTCATGACCTTATTGTTTGATTCAGAGGTGACACTGATAGAAGAAATCAAATGAAAGTCTCTCTTAAGATTACTGTTAAAAATGTTGATGGGGTTTATAGTACAGTGTTCATGTATTATTGTTTGAATGTCTGTTTCCAGGAATGCAAATTTGCTAAGCAAGAACTTCATAAACTTCGCCGTGAAAATGGCTCACTGGATTCAGAAAGACATGAACACAGTAAAACACTCAGCCAACTGCAGACTAGAGTGGCTGTGTTGGAACAGGAATTGAGGGACAAGGAACAGGTAGCTATAGTGTAGGTCAAGATTTTAACCCCAGACACGTGTACTTGAATGGATCATTTGACCTTGTCAATAAAAAAAAAAAAAAAACAATTAGGAATTGGAAAGGATGCATAGAGAGGAATTCAAAGAGTATAACTCAATTCGTAGAACTTCACAGTTTTAGTCTATGTATGTTTGAGAGACAGTTTGTGGTTATTGCAATGTTTACGAATTGATAACTTCTGCTAAGCTAGCAAGGAGGAAGTGTGGTTGATGGCAAAAGTTTTGACTAGTCAAGGAATTTTCAATTGAAATAATTTAATAACATTCTTTCCTCCACCTTGCTAACTGCAGTACATTGCTGTTGTTTAATTAATTATGTTCCAGGTCATAGCACGGACCAATGAACTGTTGGAGAATTCCAATGAACAACGTAGAAAGCAAGAGAAGATATTGGAAGAAAAACAGGAACAGATCAATAAAATGGAAGCCAATATGAAATCTGTAACAGCCGATGTGATCAAGGTACAGTTACTGGGTCATGGATGGTCCTGATTTTTATTCAAAAAAGCACATTACTTTCTAAATGCCATGATTACTGTTATGAAAATTCTGCACTAATGGGTCATATGGCCATGATCTGTCGGTATGGTTGCTTAAAAAATATGTAACAAGGAGCTTTAAAATTTCTCCTGCCAGCCTAGTATTTCATTAGATTTCCTTGGCATTTTGTCAGTGACCATTTCTACCTCTTGCTAGAGAGACTCAGGTGCTCATAGTGAGTTGTTTTTTCTAATTTTCATGGGGTAACAGACTTGGCTAGCTTCTAGATATTCATATCATCCATTGCTATTTGTACATGTAGTCAAAAATATTTTGTATTGCCTTGTTTCTAAATGGTTTTGTTGACTTACTTTCAGGGAAATGAGATAATACAAAGGTTACAATCAGAATTACGGACCTACAAATCTAAGGTACATGTATGAAGTTTATGCTGATGCCTCTTTCCTTCAGTTTTAAGCTTTTTGTAGTGGCTTAATTTACAGAACCAGAGTTCCTTCCTCATAGAGAAGGCCAAATCTTTAAGATTTATCTGATATTAAACTATCCTAGCTCTCTCCTTCTCCTTGTCTCTTTATGGATTAATTGAACAGTGCAGTGGGTAGATGCAATGCGTCAGATAATAGAAGGAAAATTATTTTGCCATACTCTGTACTTTTTCTGTTTTAGATGAAGCTGAAGAGTGTGGTGATGACTAAACAAGAAAAGCTCCTTGAAGAAAAGGTAGTAGCCTAATAGAGTGTAATTTGTGTAACTTAGTATAAACTGAGTGGATCAATATCAGTATCTGGGCAACTGCCCACCTACCCCTTCCCTAACCCAACATTAACCCTAACTTGTTATCAGTTGACTGTTGTTGACTTAGGGTAGGGGTAGGTGGGCAGTTGCCCAGATACTGATATTGATCCAACTGAGTTAACAATGTAAATTGGCCACCACAAAGAGTTTCAAAGTTGATGTTTCAAGTGTCAGCCCTTCATTCTGACTTAGGGCTAACTCTCAAAATGTCAGCTTTGAAACTCTTTATGTTTTCAAGTCAGTTGATAGTATTAAATTACCTTGTTATACTCTCCCACCAACCAAGCACCAAAGTTTCTTTAGAAATTTACCCCCTTTATTCATGAGTGTGTAACCTTCTGAGGTCATTACTGTACATGGTCCATAGGGTTTGGACTGTACAACTGTTAATCACTTCAAATCCTATTATTTCATTTCATATTGTATCATTCATTTCATTTCACATTATTTCATTTCATATCATTTCAATTCATAACATTGCATTTCATTTCAAAGCATTTTGTTTTATATCATTTTACTTAAATCATTTCATTTCCTTCGTTTCACAATATTCAATGTCTTGTCATTTCATTTTGTATTATCTAATTTTATTTCACATCATTTCATTTCATTTCACTGCTTTTTTAGCACTGGTTAAGTGCCACCTGGTTTGCATCTCCTGCACTAATTTGAAAGTACCATTAAGTCCTTAACCCTTTAACCCCTAAGAGTGACCAGCTTCTGATTTCTCCTTACAATATCACCCCTGAATCAAACATTAAGGTCATGAGAATCAAGGAAATGATCACCAACTTATAAAGCTCTTGATCTTTAAACAAATTCTCCTTGTCAGCACTTCAGGAAATGTATAGAGGCAGTAAGGAGAATATGAATACTGATGTTAGGGTGTGAAGGGTTAACTTAACCCTGGCAGCCTCTTTGTCACATGGCCTTGTGGGACTTCAACATTTGACTTTTTGACAATTTGATCTTGTCTATTTAGGAAACAGCTTTTGAAAAACACAGGCAGGAAAAATCCAGCTTGGAAACCACCTTGAAGAATAAAGAGGAAGAGGTAAGCTTAGAAGTGATTGGAACTTAGCCAATGCTAGGCCCTTTATCAACAGAGTTAAGTTTTTTGGGAAACATCCTTCCCACCCCCGACATATTTTGAGTTTTTATTCTATCACACCCTGATTTTGCCCTAATACCAGTCTTTTGGTAGACTGGAGATGATGGAAAACAGAGTGGAAACAAGTCTAGCAAGTAACTATCACTATTGGAACAGTTTCTTGAGAGGTCTGCAAAGTTCACACAGTCCTTGAAGTTTATCAACAGTTTCTCAGTCGTGAATGTCATTGATCCGTTTTACTGAAAGCTTTAGAATTTTTGTTTGCTTTACTGTTATAATTGAATTACCTTCATCAAAGTTTTACGGCTCAAGAATTCAGAGGTAGTTGTGAAGATGTCGTCCTTTTCTTGAACGTTTAGCTAAAGAAGCTGAGTGAGTCATTGGAGACAACCACAGCCAAGCTTGAAGAAAGTAAACAACTGCTGAAGACTAATGAAAATGGTGAGGATGCCTTAAAAGATCGTAGAATTTGACAACAAAGTCAAGAAACAAGAACTCTTTGGCTGAGACTGAATTCATCTTGTGGATGACCTTGACCCTGCCTTATCTCATTTTCCTGAATTGAGTTGGCTTTGGGTGAGGAGAGATTGGGCTGAGCGAAGGACCAGGGGTCTCAGCCAGGCATTTTCTCTTCCCCACCATAAGTACGCATTTGCTTTCTCTAAACTCTCTCAACCCTTTAACTTTAAAAAGTGACCAAGACAGAATTTCACCTTACAATATCAATACAATGTCAAGAAGTCAAGGGGTACGAATAAAGAGAAATATCAGTTGGGCAATTATAAGTTGATTCAATACCGAATTCTCCAAACTAACATCATTTGAACTGTATGGCAGACAGTAAGGAGAATAATGTTTGAGATCTGGGAATGAAAGGGTTAAGACTGGGTGTACCTTCGCAGAAGGAACACTGGGTGCCTATCCATCACTACCCTGTTGACCTGATAGTATTTGTACGTTAAGATAGTGTGGCTTTTAGTATGTCAAAATGATTTTTTGCTTTGTGTAACACTGTAGTTATCAATTGGCTGAACAAGCAAATGAATGACCAGATGATGTCCCAGCAACGGCTGGGGCCTTTTGAAATGCACACGAAACCTGTGTCCACGCGAGGACCGCCTCTAGTACCATACAACAAGGTTTGTCAAATCATTCTGTTTGCCTTTTGTTTAAATAATTTTCATCAGCATCATCTTCAACCTTATTGTTATTGTTTTTATTATTATTATTATTATTGTTATTGCATATTATCATTATTGACATCGTTATCATCATCATAACTATTAACATTGCTATGATAGTGCTATTATCATTATGAATTTCATTATTATTATTATTATTATCATTATTATTATCATTATCAATTTCATTATTGTTATTAGGTGACGAGCACAACAGTAAGCTCCACCACCTCAACGGGAAAACAGAACGGACATTCCACGTTTCTCGGAACCAGCTCAGGTAGATTTATACTGCTTCATTCCTTATTAAAACATCGTTTAAGCGGTCTTGTCAGGGGTAAACTTGTGTCTTTAGTAAATAGAGTTGAGATATGCCCAAATGTACCTTTACTGCCACGCTAACGGTGGAATCTTTCTCGATTACCTCTCTCCTGAGCCTTTAATAGATACTTATCGAAATGAAAATAATTATACCTTCTCTTCAGAGTGAAGGCGATTATTTACATTATTGCACAAACCGCTGAAATACAACCGTAAAAGTATGATTCTTACACCTAGCCGTCCGCGTCAACTTTAATTCGAATACTCCTCTTGAGATTGAAAACTTAGGGCGGTTAATAAATCTTGAAATATTCGCTTCTTGTAATTTCTTTATTAAGTTTGTATTTGTTTGATTTGAGATTAAAAAACGAATTACATACAAAAGCCGTGGAAAACGATTAGTTTGAATAAAACCAAATGTCGTTAAAGTATTCACGTATTCCTCCATGTTCGAGTAAGCGCGCCAGCCAGCCCCAGGAGTTAGCTTATGATGTTCCATTCAACTCTTGCTTTGTAGATTCATGAATAGTTATCTAACACTGACTGACTTCTTGACAAATTTCCTTGGTCAAACGTCCATTTTACCTCATCCTTGTTATGTAGATCTCATACAGAAAGCCTGGATCTCGCCATGGACTTCTTCCTCAGCCAGTGGGCCAGTCGACTCCCAATGTACCATCAGGTGTGCTGCCTCCTGCAGGGGGTGTCACCCCTCTCAGCCGCCCGCTGACCGGTTTGACGCACAACGCAGAACCCTTTCTCGACGCTAAGTATCTTCATCCTACTGCAAATGGAGCTCAGAGGACTGGCACCGAGCCTCCACTTATGTCCGCTTACTTTCCTAAACCACGTGGTACATTGCCTACCACGTGAGCACCATATGGATGGCAAGTTTCCTGTGAAAAAACTTTTGGGAAGTGAGAGAGATGGCCTTGCGAATCATTGAAATGTACGCGTGCGCAGAGAGGAAGCTTGTTTCAAATACAATCAATTGCATCGTTAAGGTCCGAAAGACACGGCCCTACGGGCCAGTTTTTCCCTCCTCCTCCCCACCCTCCTCCCCCTCTTTTAACTACGGAAATAACTCCCTACAAGGTGCCTTCGTTTTGAGTTCTTTTCTTTCATCAAGAAGTTGTCATGGCTATACGTAGAAAGCTTCTTCGATCTCTGAATAACTTTATGCGCGAATTGAAAAAGACTATCCGACTATAACCGCGTAAATATTGCTAATTTTTGCCCATCGGCTAAGACTTTGTTAACCGTAGACAGTCCCTCTAAGGTGAAGTTTTCGTTAAAAGATGTATGGAACCTCAGAGCCAAAAAAAATACGACGGATTAAGGGCTGCTGAGTTAAAAAAAAGCAGGGTTGTGACTTTTGGCGCTTCACGGTATTTATTTGTTTTTTCTAATGACATGTGAGTAACAAGTGTGCCAGATGCCGACGCGTACAATTAGGAGCAGGCTTCGGGAATTCTTGTATACCAATTTAATCTAGTAGTGCAAGAGGCAGCTTTATGTACACATCTATATAATAAAAGTCGTGGAAATGTTCAAAGTTTGTTTGGTAGCGTGGAAGCTGTAAAGAATTTCATATTTCGTGCTTCTTTTTCATCTGTGAAAATTAATTCGTTTTAGTGGTTGAAAACGAATTAATTCTCACAGATGAAAAAACAGATGAAAAAGAAGCACTCAATATGAAATTATTTTAATTTGGTCCCGAAATTTCTTATTTTATACACATATATTGATAAATTATTTAATGCATTGGTAGATTACGAACCAGATCATGGAAATTGTTCGCTTGAAGAGTTACTAATTTCGTTTAAATATTGCAGTCGACGAACACGGTCTTTTCACGTCGTAAGTGGCAATTGACTATAACTACCAGATTAACAAATGAAAAGCTGTTAAATGGCGGATTTCTGCCTATTTTTAGCTCCACATGCAAATATTTGTGCCGATCGAGAATGAAAAGAAGACGACTGAACTGGTGTGACATGCACAGTTCGACACTTAGCCAAAGTGCGCGCGCTTATACATGTAAGATTGTTTGCTGCTTAGCAAGTGGAAAATTGTGGCAGATACGATTCAGTATCACTTGCACCAGTTAGAGTGTTCGCTTGGAGAGAGAATTTTGAGGATTTTTTCTGAGTGATGCCGGCTACCGCGCTACAATACTCCACCACTGAGCTATGCGCAAGTCTGGGGTGAGTCAGGCCATCACGAGCTTCATATCTGACACGTGTCTTGCATACTTCTAGAATTAACAACTTTGAAAGCGTCATGTGAATGAAAAAAAATTGAACAGGTGAAAAATTTTGAGCTGGGAAATGACATAAAGGAGAAGATTCATCACAAAGCTGTTCATAGGAAGTTCGATTCATTAGTTAATTACACTCAATTTCCCGCATCAATGACGTCAGAGCTAAATTACATCATTACCTTCTATGACATCATAATCACTTCTCGCTTTGGTTTCAGCAAGGAAGCAGATTCATTTAGAGATTTGAGCTTGTATTTGTAAAATTCAGTACAAAAATTCAAGTGAGAAGTTAAACAAATGACGAATAAGGTTCAACCCGTTGTTATAGAGGTGGGCGAAAAATCTGAAGTGAGCGAACAGCGTGAAAAATGGACCTCGAAAGCTGACTTTATAGCGTCATGTATTGGCTATGCCGTTGGCTTAGGCAATATATGGCGCTTCCCGTATCTTTGTTACAAGAACGGCGGAGGTAATTGTTTAAGGGTAGATATCTATGATAACTGCGTCTTTATTCAGGGGTGTAGTTTAGGTTTACAAGTGCACACTTTTTAGAACCGTCTACAGCAACAGTCAGTCCGTGAAAACATCTGGTGTCTGATTTTGCACTCTGCAACACTTTCTTCAATTCGAGAGAATCTACAAAATATGAGTCGAGTAAGACTGGCAAACAGAAAAGAGACGATAACAATACAGAAACGAAAAGCGCCATATGTTGCCTAGGCTTTTGCCCGGAAACATGTGACGTTTTCCGCATCTTTGTTACAAAAACGGCGAAGGTAACTTGATCACGTGTAGATATATATATTATAGCTTTGTCTATTTGTTTAGCATTGTAGCTTAAGTTTACAAGTGCACACTTTTTAGAATCATGGCATAATTTGGTATACGAAAAATCCTTGTAATTCAAAGAGGTTGTATTGCCGCATATAGTGTCATCTGTTACACGTCGTTAAACTATCTTCAGTTGGAGGGAATCTACAAAATGTCAGTTGAAACAGAAAGACAAAAACAAAAGAAATGAAAATAAACCCGAAATAAACAAGGATGGCCGAGGATGGAGAAGATTGACAAGGATTGTAAATACCTGAAGAATAACATTAACCTTGTTTTCTGTGCTAGCTATGTAGCTCCTTATATCTTTTGCGCGTACTTTGCCCTCCATCGTAAAACATGCACCAGGATTTCAGCTTGTTCTCTTCTTCCTAGGGTTGCATTTCTAATTTCTTTTATTTTTCATTGACAGCTACTTTCTTAATTCCATATTTTCTGACATTGATAACCTGTGGAATTCCTTTGTTTTACCTGGAACTGGCCCTCGGACAGTATCTGAGCCTCGGTACCATCAAAGCTTGGGCAGTGGTTTGCCCTGCGCTTAAAGGTTTGTGTAAAATATCCTGAATTATGTCTGGCACTTGGATCAATTGGAGATTTCTGAATTAAATGTAGTAAAAAAAAGATAAGTAACTCAACATGCAGTATCATGACAACTACTACGCTCTACAAAACAAATTTTCAACTTTCGAATCCTCTAAATTGAATAGGGCCTTTAAGTAACGTGTTGCTGCACTTTTTATGATTCAAGGTATGTTTTACATCGTTAACACGTAGCGGCAGCTCAAATGTTCTGTAATATTTTAAACGCAGGGATTGGAGTTGCCATGGTGATTATTTCCTTCCTGATTTCTATTTACTACAACGTTGTTATATCCTGGAGTCTTCTTTATCTATACCACTCCTTTGCTTCTGTTGTCCCGTGGAAGTCTTGTGGCAATTCGTGGAACACTGCAAATTGCAGGTAAATAACAAAGTCAAGAAGTTCTTTATTTAATTGGAAAAAATATCGCGCGAACTTTGTGCTGTATACTCTTTGACACAAAAGACTGATGCTTGTAGTAACTCGGCAAGTGATATTTTTGTTGCTGTTTTTCTCTTTTCGTGAGGAAAATGACGCCAATCTCTACTTATTAAGATCTCGACCCTTGAGAACATGACATTTTTGAGAACAATTGGTGCAGTTGTAGTAACTTCAAAATGTGATTTTCTTTAGTGAGGACTTCAGAAACTCCACCGCTAACTGCACGACTGTCAATTGCTCAATGGCCGCAATCTCCCCCAGCCAGGAGTTCTGGGAGTAAGTGTTACACGCTAGCGATTTGCTAATCTTAAATTCAAATTGCCGGTTATGTTTTTAAGGTATCACAGCTCGCAATGTAGCGCTTTTCAACGCTAACAGGACCCTTTAGCAGTCATAAAATTAACCCTGATTTGATTTGCCTTCAAGAAATTCCGACTGCTTAAATTACAAATCATTGGACAAGGAAAAAAGAAAGTTGGAATTTTTCACTGGCGATCAAATCAATAACTGTTTAAAGCCAGCGATTGAAGTAAATTATTGTCCACACAAGGACGTGGAAACAACTACGCATGAACACAATATTGTCAACGACGAAAACTAGTAGTCAGTGTTACGCATGAGCATTACATAGAAGTTCTTAAGTCACGTGCTGAACTCTTGGCCAATCGCAAACCAGAAATTATTTATCGAATAGTGGCGATGTCACTGCCTAAAGAGCAAATTCTATTAATTGCATCAGATAGGCAAATTTCTTCATTAACAGAAATAGTCACTTTGCAATTAAAGTTGCATAAGTTTAATTTTACGACTTATGGTCTTTCAAGGCGTCGTATCTTGGACGTTTCAAATGGCATCGATGAGCCGGGTGAGATTCGTTTACCTTTGGCCACCACGCTGTTCATTGCGTGGGCCGCAGTTTTCTTTTGCATTCATAAAGGCATCAAGAGCTCTGGGAAGGTAAAAAGGAAAAAAAAACACATTCTAAAAAAATCAATCTGAATTTTACTTGTTATTAAAATTTGTATTCACCATATGCTATTTTAAAAATCATTAGGCAGGTAAGTTTCAATCGAAAAATAATTGTGGTGAATATAATTTCGTGAGTCTATGTTGTTGTATCGCATAATGGCAATAGGACAAGATAGGGAAATAATACCTTAATAGGAATACAGCCATGTTCCGTTATCTTGTTCTATACGTCTTGTCTATCAGCTCGGATGAGCTTATCTCGGACGAGCAAGATGTAGAGAATACTAAAAAGGAAATCATTGTGCCGTGCACAATTGATGGAATCTTATGTTACAAGAAGTCTAAGTTTAGTAACCTCTAAAAATAAAGATAAAAACAATGACCCATGCGATAAACAAAGTGGTGGCACCACTTTGTTTATTGCGTGGGTCGCTGTTTTCTTTTGCATCCATAAAGGCATCAAGAGCTCTGGGAAGGTAGACAAACAAAAAAACAGTCTAAAACAAATCAATCTGAAGTTAACTTGTTATTGAAATTTGTATTCTCTATATGCTGTTTTAAAAATAATTAGGTAACTAAGTTTCAATCGAAAAAGAATTGTATTGAATATAATCTCTTGAGTCCATATCTTATCTCGGACAAGCAAGATGTAGAGAACACAATAAAGATAATCATTGGGCCGTGCGCAATCGATGGAATCCTATTTTACAAGGAGTCTAAGTTTAGTCACCTCTAGAAAATACAGATGAAAACAGAAACGTAGCTTATATAATTTTGTGAGTCTGAATTAGTTTTTAACTATAAGTTAATTCTTTGGTCAACCGCGTTCTTTTCATTTTTGGTTAATATTTTGTTCTGTCCCGTTCACAGGTGGCCTACTTCACGGCCATCTTCCCCTATGTTGTGTTGTGTATCTTACTAGTGCGTGGTGTCACTCTGTCCTGGTGCACTTGATGGGATCATCTTTTACCTAAAACCAGACGTCGAAAAGCTCTTAGAGCCACAGGTGAGAAAGAAAATACTGAGCTCTGGTAAGAAGATAATATACACAGACGCATTTGTCTAATTTACCACGACGCCTCTCAGTTTTTATCTTTATCAGCACTGTTCAATTTGTTAAACTGGTTTTGTTGTTGTTTATAGGTTTGGATCGATGCAGCGACCCAAATATTTTTCTCTCTCAGTGTGGGCCTTGGAGGCCTGGTCACCTATGCCAGCTACAACGAATTCAATAACAACTGTGAACGGTACAATATCCTTTACACACAGCGCTCTCTCTTTCCCACATCACAATTTACTTAAAATGAGCGAGAAAATGAGTTATTGTCTTCAATTCGCTCATCTATTGAAACTTTAAATCGTTAACCACCGTACACTGACAGATGTCAACTTGATCAACAAAAGACGAAAGACTTGTGATGAAAACTCTATCTCGGCCACTTGATTGACATTCTCATTTTTACCTGACGTATTTGCGTCTGTCTCTAGGGACGCAGTTGTGGTATCGTGCATCAATTGTGCAACCAGTGTAGGCGGAGGGTTTGTGATCTTCAGTGTCATTGGCTTCATGGCCCACACCCTTAATAGAGAAGTGGCACAAGTTGTATCCTCTGGTAAGATAACAAGTTAGGGCGTGGTCAGTCTCCACCTTGATTAAGGTTAGGGGAGGGGGCGATGCATCCTTTTGACGAGTTCATAACCTTTTCTCTGAGATTAAAAATACAAGAAGTTTGTTTGAATCAAATTGTAGGGCCTGGTCTTGGTTTTGTGGCTTATCCTGAAGGGATTGCTCAAATGCCGGCTGCACCTGTTTGGGCTGTGATGTTCTTCTTTATGCTTTTTACGATTGGACTTGGCAGTCAGGTAAGACAAATTACATCACTCTCATTTATAAGTGCATGCGAAATTCTAATTATTCTACTCAAATTGAATCTCTGATCTGATTGAGCTGGTGTCTGAGTGACTTACTAACTCATCGACTGACTGATTAACAAGCCAATGACTCACTGACTGATTGACTTACTGACTGAAACTGACCAAATAAGTGACTCCGTAAGTGTTTGACTCGCGGACCCACTTATCCTCTGACAAGGTATGGAACTCATTGACAGCTGAATTCACTAAACAGTGTTGGAATCAAAACTCATTAACGTTTTCAATATTCAGTTTGTGTTTACAGAGACAACGATTCGGGCGGTGATGGACACCTTCACCAAACTTCGTCCCTATAAGGGACGATGCCTCTTCTGCCTTTGTGTTATTTCATATCTTATTGGGCTCTCTTGTGTCACTAAGGTAGGTTAGTTAATAATGATAATAGGACCAATTGGGTCTGAATGTCCAAAATTGGACGACTGGAAGTCCACTTACCGCGATTATAAAAATTATTGGATAAGGTTTTTGTGATATCCAAAATAATCAAGGTCGAGGTTTTGAAAATTCACTGTACGCTTTTTGTTTTATAATACGTTGAATGCATAAAAGTACGTGGGACTGATAATTTCTGAACGTGTAAAAATATACAAATCAGCGAGGAAAACAAAGAAATTATTTTACCCTTGAGAATTCACCGAGTTTGTATAGTTTAATTTTTTTGTAAATCTGCAACTTGACGTTTTTTATCAGGGAAATCTATTTTTTGTCCTTTTTTTAAACATATTTGAAACATATTTGACAGCCAAAGTGGAGGCTTTTCTTTGATTTGTGTGGTTGTTCTCGAAGCTGTTGCCGTCAGTTGGGGATATGGTGAGGATTCTCATTAGTGCGACAGAGGTTTAAAAATGTTTCATTAATTTTACTGACGATTTTGAGGGGCTAAAGTTTTCCACCTTTTTTTTTTTTTTTAGGAGTTGATAAATTCTCTGATAATATCCAAGATATGATTGGAAAGAAACCCAGCAAGTACTTTGTCATCTGCTGGAAATACATCACACCTCTTGTTGCGACGGTAAGGCCATGCATTTGTGATACATAAGTCTTGCTCCGTTCATACGTACACTGATCGAGTGCTTAGTTCATATAAAATTCTGTACGAGGGCTTTTGGATTTAGTGTCGTAAATCAAAGTTATCACCTAGACCAATCAGCATAAAGCCTAAAATCACCAGCAACCAATTAGAATTCAAACTGAAGATGCATGACAATTTCAAGCTTCCGGGAAACGTAAATGACCAATTCCAAAGTTATCATCACAGCCACCAGGGGAAAGCTCAGTATACTCCTCCGCCAAATCAACCCCTGCACTAGCCCCCTCCCCTATCCGATTGACATGTTATGTTACTAATCATATGTCGCATTTTATAAAACAGCTGATATTTCTGGGAAGCATCACCCAGTGGAAGAGGATCACGTACAATGGATACATGTACCCCGACTGGGCACAAGCTGTGGCATGGCTGCTGGCTTTATCGTCTTTTCTGGCCATACCCATTTTTGCTCTTTGTACAATTTTCCATCCAAAAGGATCCTTTAGAGAGGTATGAAAGATTTACTGTCGGATAAATGGTATTGCAGGATTAGCATGTGACATGTGAAGAAGTCTTAGTAAATATGCTCGACTTCAGATCAAAAGATCTCGGATGAACCCTGACTGAATCATGGTCTATTGTTGTCTTTGGTGTTCTTCATCTGAGGATACTGGCCAGAGGATGGTCAAGAAACTCTGATAACCTGCCGAGAGTAAATTGCTGCAGAATTATATTCCAATAAGGGGGAAGGAAAATACTCTAACATACTTCATGATGCAGAAATATAAGATATTACACGGCCACGGATGGAAAAAAATTTCACCCTTTGAAAAATTGTAATTATACCATTGTGTTTTTTCCTATTTGCTCATGACATCAAAAAATGATTTCCACCCTTGTGTTTTTATAGAGATTGAGGAAAAGCAGTGAGTCCTAATGTTACAGTTCTGAACTCTGTGGCGGAGCGCCATAACCTGCCAAGTAGACCAAGGTAAAGTAATGTGAACTATTGGGCTTTTCAATTATGTTACATGTGAACACAATTAGACTATAAGCAGTCCCTGCTTGTCGGCCAATGGAAAAAAATTGATGTTAGAGTGCCGCGCAGAACTCTGGGAGTAAGGCGCACGTACTTTCTTACTTAATGAGTAAGAGGTACATGGATGGTTTCGAAGGTTGAATTCGACAAGAATTGACATTCGGCAGCAGTAATCTGGGGCGAGAATGCTTTTGCAAGAGTATTTTCCTTTGGGATATTTGTTTTTACATTCAAATAATCTCATCACTTTGAAATTTGTCTTTGTCCTAATATCGTAATGAGAATCAATGTGTTGGTATAAGGAAACTAGCCAGCTGGGCGTCTGTCATATTTCCGTGTGTGCTAAGGCACGCTACGGGCGAGACGCGCGAAAAGCAGATAACATGCAAGGGGAGAATCGCGCAAGGGGGAGAAACGCGTGAGGCGAGAAACGTGGGAAAGGAAGAGTGCGGTAAAAAATTATGGCGGTCTCTCTTTCTTCCTCCTTCCCTCGCATTTGTCTCGTCCTGAAGGCTCCTTTTACGCTTGTTACCTTATCATATGATATGATTTAACCTTTGCCTAATCTCTTCTCGTGTTTTGTGTTTACAGAAAATGTCCTGAAACCAGGATCGATTTTGCCGATGTTGACAACTTTTATAATCTTCCGGAGACGGAAGTGTAAATTTTGGCTTAATCGAAATTTAATGTAATCTTATTCATTTGTAAATTGTTTGTCGCGCCCGTAAAAAATAATTTTTTTATCGTGATAAGAAGCCATCACTTCTTTCTTCCAGCTTGAACGAAATGAAACTGTTACACAAAATAAAAAAAAAAAATAAACCAAAAGAAAAAAAAAAAAAAAAAAATGAAAATGAAAAATGCTTAAAAAATGCGACTGTCTTTGTTTGCAAAACTGGGAGGAACAGACATACACATTAAAAAAAAACACTTTTTGAAAATCATTAAAAAAAATAAGCATCGGTTATTGTGGTAAACTTTAAAACAGAAAAAGGAGATATAGAAAAAAAAAACGATAAAATGAAAAACAATTGACAATAATTAAGAGAGAAATATTCTTTGTAATGATTTTTTTTTTCATACAAATAAGACACCAGTACAGAACTAGCACAATATGTCGTTTTTTCATCCAAACGTCCTCTTGTTCATTATCAGTTCCCCCTGTTTTACTGTACTTGTGGTCATTATTCCTTTGAAGCTTCAAATAAAGAATTTACAAAAAAAAAAAAAAAAAAAAAAAAAAGCATGCCATTATTAGCCATACAAATTCGCTTGTTCTTTTAGTTCGAGGTTGAAAACTGAGAGATCAGGGCTTAAGCACATCCCGGTCTTCCTAAAGACTTCCGTGGCAAATGCTGTCCTCCACTACCCTGCGTTGCTGGCGGTCTGCGGTTTTGGGGGCGGAGATAAAAATGAAAGACTCTTTTCTCTCTGCCTCCAAACCGCCGACCATCAGCAACGCAGGCTATCCTCCACATGCTTCTGTTTCAGGAGTACTCTGTTATGCCTTAACTCAGACCCATCAGTTAATGCCCTGACTATGTAGGCTAGAGTACAAATCCTCGTTCATTGCAGGAACATGGCTACCTCATCGAATTGATTTGGTTTTCGTTGGCTGACTTGCTGGTACTTACTGACTGACTATCTGACTAGCTGATTGACTGCCTGGTTGACTGAAGGACCGACTGACTAAAGACTGACTGATTTACTCACTCATTGACTCCCTGACTCATCCACTGACTCAGTTACTGACTCAAGAACAAACTTATTATATTAGAACTTATCAGTGCTTTCAATATTTAGTTTGTTCTGTCATAGAAAACCCTAGAGGCACTGATGGACACGTTTACTGACAGAGCTACAGAAACAAGCATAGCTGCATTAATGATAATGCGGTGATTGTGGTTTCTGTGACTGTTTTCGTCCCCATAAGAAAAGATGCTTGTCTAT